TGATAAATCTACTTCTAAGTTATATATTTCAAAACTCCTGGTCCAGACTCTGTACAGAGTCATGAGCTATATATATAGGTAAAGTATTATTATTGTAGAACCATTTTCCGTATAAGGAGAATGTTTTAAAAATAGATAATTCTAAGTTCTTTTTTTTATTAAAATATTGTATTTAAATAAATTTTTACTAAAATAATATTCTTAAAACAATTGGATACATGTCTTATAATATAAGTGACACTAAATATCATAAAAGCTATCCATTTTATAGGCTTTTCCAAGACAACTTTCCTAAAGTAGTCTGATACCTTAAAGCCATTTGTTCGCAACGGATTCAAAATTTAAAAGCAAAGCACTGCATTTAGATAAAAGTTGTAAAATCAAATATTCTCTTCTGTTTAATATTTTTTGTTAATAACACAGAATATTTTGAGAAATGTTATAATATCGCGCGAATCCAACTAATATCGCTCACATTATAAGAAAATTACCTTTCCAAAAATCTACGACGGAGTTTTAAATTCCAGGAGATGTACCCGCATTTTTAGGGTGCTTTAACGCTAAAACACATAACACCACTTTGCGGTTTTCACCATCTTTATACCCAATTTGATCCCAGGAGATGCTTAAGGTCTCAGAATCTTGAACACCATCTCCATTTTATTTAATTGTTCCACTCTCCAAACAACAAGAAAGCATTAAATTTCGAACGGCAAATTACTAAAAAAGAAAACCGAGTTACCCAAAACCGACTTTCCCTGACAGAGAAGGGTTCTTGTAAAGCGCCCGGACCATCCCCCTAGAGAAACCCGCAAACATTTCTTCCATAATTGTTTCCCTAAGCGAACCTTTTGGGTGAAGGAAGCACTTAATGTGGCGAGTTGCAACTGCCACTTCCCCATCTGGGGAATAAACTTTCCATCTGTAAGAGGTTTGAATCTACCGTTGCAAATGCGTTGCTGCTCAAGTTAAATATTCCTTTTCTACCATTTCCTCCCGTGTGCACACTCAGCTACTGGAAATTAATGGCCACAGCGAAGTTGGAATGTTTCTCTCTGTCCCTCCCCTTCTGTTTGATTTAAGTCTTCCTCTGTGTATGCGACGTTGGTTAGAATAATCACTTGTTTTACGCGGAGGAGGCTCGGAACTCAGGAGTTAATCGGTTTTTTGTTATTTATCAATTTATTTGTCTGGACGCGTTGAGAGAATCTACGAGAGGTTGAGAGAGAAAATTTCTGAGAAAAAAAATGGTTGAAACATTATTTTATTTGTCTTTATGGAAATCATTCAATCATAAGTGATATTTTTCAAAAATTGAAATGAAGGGATACTGTATATTTCTGCAGAAGTAAATTTTGTATTTATTTCAGTGTAATTTATTTATTTATTATTATTATTATTATTAACAACAGGTAAAGATTAAGTAAATCATTTTTACTAACCAGAAATTTACATTGCTCAACCTAGTAGAATTCAAATTTTTAGATTTGTAAGAACAATAAAAAAAACGCAATAATGCCAGTATTTGGCTTATTTAGTTAATTTTTGGTTAATTCACAAATTTCGGTATAAGTATTTAAGGCTGTGTTGCAATTTCCTAATCCTAAGAGCACATATATATATAATTTAAAAGAAACTCTCCTATAATTTTTATTTTTAAAAAAATTCTGAATTTCAATTAAATTGGTTTTTATAATATTTCTAAACTGGGATCTATACAATTAAACTATGTTACTAATGCAGCAAACCTAAGAATATTGATGAAAACAAATATGCATGAGTGTATCAATGTGTTCGTAAAATATTCTTATTATATTATGTACATAATTCCCAAAACATTTCAAAATGAAAACAATTCAGCTTCTTTATTTTGCCCTAGTGCTCTTACTTGAAAACACGCCATGAAGAAGCTCTAACGTTTAAAGATTCAACCAAGTAATTATCAAGCAAAACGAAACATGAATATAATAAAGAAAAATGAATAATTTCTCAAACAGTGAGATGTGCCTTCTTTAGGGGGCATGATAATCCTACGTGGGAGGCATGAACATATCGAAAAGTCGAAAATAAAAGATTATTTAAAAAAATTATTAACTTACTGAAAATAAGAAAAGCAAAATGGATTCTGAACTGTGAAAAAGTAGCATAATACTTATACTATTACTAAACAATAACTAAAAATATGTTTTACTAATAAGTAACTAAAAATGTTTTACTAAAAAATAACTAAAAATATGTTTTACTAAAAAAGTAACTAAAAATATGTTTTACTAAAAAGTAACTAAAAATATGTTTTACTAAAAAGTAACTAAAAATATGTTTTACTAAAAAAGTAACTAAAAATATGTTTTACTGAAAAGTAACTAAAATATGTTTTACTAAAAGTAACTAAAAATATGTTTTACTAAAAATGTATTTTACTAAAAAGTAACTAAAATTGTTTTACTTAAAAATAACATATGCAAGATTTAATACCTACGTTGATAATTTGTACGGTTCATAAATATATATGGCTGTTAGAGTAAAAATACATTATTATTGCATACATTGTACTTGTACAAGGGGAGACATTAAAATTACGTTGGAAAATTGGGTAGCTAATTTTGAAAGTTTGAGAAGCACTTAAACAATTTATTTCAATGTAGTATATTTTTGCACACTTTTTTTTTTATTATTTTAGTATTAATATCATAAGAATCTTTAAGACAAATATATACGTTTGTGTGTGATTCACTTAAGGTATCCGACTACGTTCGGAACCGTGATTTTAAAAAAGCGCATAAATGGATAATTTTCATGATATTTAGTGTCACTCAGATTAGAATACATGCACAAAATTGCATTAAGGACATTTTGACAAAGAAAAGCTATTTAAATACAATATTTTGGCAAAAAATTAACTTAGAATAATCTCTTTTCAAAATATTCTCCTTTTGTGAAAAAAGGCTTCTATTGTAATAATAATTTGCCTATATATAGCTCAGACCTCTCTACAGAGGCTCATCTAGAATTTTTGAAAAAATTCTCATTATTTTCAGAGTTACCAACAATTGAAATAATTATTGGCGTGTTTTTTTTTTGGTAATTGCTCCCCTTTGTTGTCGTAAAATATGGATAAAGCCACTTCTGAGTTATATATTTTAAAAATTCTAGTTGAGCCTCTGTACAGAGGTCTGAGCAAGCAAAATATTATAATAGAAGCATTTTTCACAAAATGAGAACATTTTGAAAAAAAGATTATTCTAAGTTCAATTTTTGCCAAAATATTGTATTTAAATTACTTGTTTTGTTAAAATGCCCTTAAAACAATTGCATATATGTATTCTAATCTAAGTGACACTAAATATCATGAAAATTATCCATTTATACGCTTTTGCAAAATCCTGCGGTTCCGAACGTAGTCAGATATCTAAAAATCCTCTTTATATTTTAAACAACTATCTACACATTGGGTAGAAATACGTAACTTTTAAAAATATATTTTTATTTTATTTTCATTTCGGGTCTCTTTCATGGAAAGCTCTATGTTCTTCATAAATTGAGCCTCAAGAAACCTTTTCAGAATCAATTTAAGCATAAAGCTACAAAATTCTCTAATCCAGCGCAATGCAAATGTATCATATTTAGCTTATTCCTTCACAGTTGCAGCTTCCAACCAGATGATATAGTTCATAGAAACAAAAATAAAACAAAGCACACACAAAAAAAACTCGGTGTGCAGACGCATAACGTATTACATCCAATTTATTCTCCTAATCAACTTTATAATTTTATATAGGATTAGAACCCACCTTCTTTCGTTTCATTGGGACCTTAATGGAAAAGCTTCAATTATTTTCCATGCCTCTTCCTTTGCAAAATCGGTTTCGGATAAGGAAAGTAATTGAGGATGAGAAATGATCCAATTGGGTGCTGGATGCAATCCACTCACCCTTTCATCTCAAAAAGCTAAAATATTTGTCGTCACAGAATTACGGCATTTTGGTAATTAAGGTGTTAGGAAGAAAAATGGCACGTTGGGGTGAGATTCCGGAGATTGTTGTTGTTTGTTATTCAGGAGCTTTCAGACTAGACATCAATGTTCTCCCGCTCAATCAAAATGTGGATGGCGGTTATAGATTTCTTTCAACAAATGCATTTAAACACGTGAACAATAGGGGTTCATTTGTTGAAATGGCTCATTTCTGTGTTTTTGATATACCGCGCATAATATGCGTGTATTTGGTTTCATACATGAGACATAGACCATAGGATTCGTTTTAGAATATGTATTTACATATTTTAATGTAAAAAAAAAGTCTTGTATTTAATTGTAGTAATTCGGAGGTGAACGTGGTTGTTATTATTATTCACAAATCTTTTTTTCAATTTCTACTATTAGTACACTCTCCCTATATCTATCTATCTTTATACTCTTTTGTCCTTCATTGTGTGATTTTCCTGCTGTCTATGTGTTTGTCGAATGTTATTGTTTGGATGTGATCTCTTGTTAGTAGAGTATTGGCCTATCTTTATATATATATATATATATATATATATATATATATATATATATATATATATATAGTTGAAATTTTCAATCTTTAATAAAATAATTTCTATTCACCCATTCAAGTTCAAATACATTTTTTAAACTTGTAGTGGATGGCACTTGATGTTAATATAGTTTTTTCAAATATTAATGCATTAATTAAATTGAAAAATGAATAAATAGTAACAAACAATATTAATAGTCCAAGAGCATATATAGAAAGAAAAAAAGTGTGCGTTGTATCCCAGTAGCGTAAAGGATACCGTGTTGGACTTCTAATCCAAAGGTCGTGGGCTCGAATCCCCTCTGGGGTGGGCTGATTTCTGAGAATGTTTTTTCTTTTTTCCGCTGTATTATTTTATTAGAATATAATTATATTTAATGAATGAATAAATAGTTACAAACGAAAAAAAAATTGGCTAACACCCTATATGACCGTGATAGCCTAGTTGCCAAGGTAACGGACTCCTGGCAGGCATGTTATGAGTTCGAGCCTAATGCAGCTAAAGACCCGCCGTGTAGGGGTGAGATACTTGATAAATCTGTCGAGAGCTCAAACGTCCTCTTGTTGGTGTGGTAGTTAGGAGAGGGGTTGCCAGCTCAGGTGTCGTCTTCGTCACTTGACTATGGTTCAAATTTACGATGTAGGTTGCCAAAAGCCCTCATGTAGCTGAACACAGTGACGTTAATATTCACTCACTCACCCAACATCCTTTATAGAAAGGAAAATCGCTTTTTATTTTGCCATTTTATAGTGTGAGTCTGTCTAATGTATATAATATTTATAATTATTATAAATATCTAATAAATATAATTAAAATAAAATGTTTCTTTTTTGACCTATTTAGGAATTGACTTAATTTTTTTATATCACTTATTTTAATATTTACCGTTATTTCAACTTTTATTCACGAAAAACGAAAACTATAAATATTTCAGCATACGCTTTTACTTTTAACACAGCAGCTGCCTTAGGTGTTATAGGCCACTGATTAACTAGTTCAAGTCATGATGCCACTAAAGATCTGCCGCTTAATGCATATTAAACATTTCGAGGCTCAATGTCTTCCTGTTGGTGTGATAGGAGACGGGGGATGCCAGCTGAGGTGTCTTTTCTGTCAATTTCCGAAGGATCTATTATAAGGTCTGTCACCAATAGCCTTTTTTTAGGGCAACGTTAATGTAACTCTCAGCCAGGGGCGGCTCTAGGGCCAGACAATCCGAACCCTTGCCCGGGGCAAATTTTAAGGACGGCATTTGTATCGAATTTTGAAAATATATATTGTTTTTTCTTTTACAAAAAATGCTATATATTGTATGAAATATTATTGTGGGTGTGACTTTGGTATTTAATTTAACGTATCTTATTTCCTTATTCTGAATTCTGTATGTTTAATGTCAGTTTTCTTTTACATTGAAACTCGAAGGATTCAAGGCGGGAGTATATGTTACATAATGAAATTTGATATGTTTCACTAGTAACTTTCACCCTAGCCAGGAGTGGGGCACAACGGGCATTCCTTTCACCCATACGATGTCCGACATCAACAATCCAAAAGGGGACACGGCTAACAAGAGTTTTTTTTGAATAGAAAGTCACTAGCGATGTTTTATTTTAGTATTTAATGTAGCTACTATCAATTAAATAAACGCTTGTGATTCCACGATCAGCAGACTTTTCGAAGAGATTGGCCTGGGCTGAAATGGGCGTGATTTTATATTTTAATCTAAACATATATATATATATATATATATATATAGCTCAATTCTCTTCTAAACAAGAGATCACATCCTAAAACAATAAACTCGACAAACACATAGACAAAGTATGGAAAATCACACAATGAAGTACAAAAAGAGTAATCGAGATAATAAATATAAAATGATGCTGTGAAAAGCTATGAAATTTCCAATACTGACTTAGGACAGTTAGTAAGCATATAAAAATCTTTTCAATTTATATAAAAAGTGGGGTTGAACATGTTTTTTGGCCAGCCAACCTTCCCTTTATTTGTAAATAATAACACTGAGCAAAAAGTTCATTAGGAAATAATGGATAGAAATATCTAAATCCACAAGCAAGATAGAGGTAACTTTACCTAAAAATTGCACTAACAAAATGCAAAGCCTGCGCTAAATCTGAGGGAAATATTCAATTTGTTGCCAGATTCTATACCCTAATACAGATTTAACCAAAAAGAGTGGCTGAAATGTAAGCACTCTAACAACAATAGATTACAAATGGAAATAAAATTAAAATTAGTTGCATATTATAGCATAACTATAATAAATACCAGAGTAAATATGAATAAATAATAGTGCAATTTTAATCTAATATTAGACTACATGGAGATAACTATATCAAATTATTTGTTTATAGTAATAAGCTATTATCAACTTCATAATTTTAATTCTAACTATTTGTACTAGCTTTATTTATATAACTACTAATAAAATAAATTGCATTTCTGATTTAAGGCCATTTAGTAAAATGTGTATAGTTATTTCATAATGTCTCTTGATTTTTTACACAAAGAAATTTATTACGTTGTATATAATTACTACCAAATACTTGAAATTATGAAACATGTACATTACCTCCCAATGAAGCAACCTCTTTATAATATTGAAATTAAATTCTTCTCTTTATCATAAATATTAGAAACTGTCATATTTTTCTCACATAATTTGACATGTATGTCAAGAAAATTTGCTTCATTGTTGTTATACGGCCTTATTCAGGCTAAATTAAGGATACTGTGATAAAAATTAATGTTAGGTATAAAAATTGGCTTGTTTTGCCAAAAGCATATTTATACCACTCTATATAACGATAAATATAAAATTTAGAATTATTAATGTAACTACTTTCAAAAATAATGTAAGTATAAATCGGCAAGACAGTTGCTCGCAGGGCCACCTTGTGGCAATCCTTAATCCGTTGATAATAGTTACCTTTATGATATATATAGTTCTCTTTAAGTACAAACCTTGGCAGTAAATCAAATCTATCATACTCACATTATTAAATAAATTGTCTCATGTAAATTTACAAGAATATTAACTAAATCATCAATATTAATATAGGAGTTAAAGAGATCTTCAAAATCTGGCAAACTATAGACTGAATAAATTCTTTTTATCTTTCATTTCTCAACAAGTGATTTGCTATTTTTAAGAATGGCTGAGGATATAAGGTTATTTATTGTTTCATGCAATATTTCATGGAGAATTTTGCCTGTTTTATTGATATATGTATTAAAACCATTTGTAACTGTCCCAAATTTAACTGGGTCTTGGCGAAATTTGGGAGTTAGAAATATATGTGGAAATTTAAAATTATTATTAATTTGAATTTTTAACTTTTATGAAAGTGCCAAGATACGTTTATTTATTTCTCTATCAGAAACAGAAGACTTTAATAAAAGCTGTATTATTATCGAAATAATTGTTGATCAATAAATTATAATAGTATTTTACATATGATTGCAAAATTTCCTGGCACTTTATCAAATATAAACTATAATAAATTTATTTTGTAAATTTTAATCTGACTTTTAATATTATTAAAAGGATTTTATTATCTTATACCATAGTTATATTTCTATTAAGCCGTTTTAAATTTCATTCTTTGACTTCGTGAATGCCCCATAGGCATACCTATATTTACTAGGCTATTTTGTATATAAAAATGCCTAATATCATTATATAAATTTGATTTTGATAATTTTATTATTATTCGAAATCATTAATCTAAAACCAGTACCTTTATTCATAATATTTCTAAGATTATTGTCTTTACACATTGAGATCTCCAGTAACAACATGCTTGTGATGTTGATCAATGAAATCTTTTAAATTCACTACATTTACAAAAACAAATTGCTTATCTTGCTTTATAGGCAAATAATATAGTTAAAAATTGATCTTACCTATTTTTTTATTGTATTTAAAAAGCTTTTTAATAGTATATTTTGTATTGGGAAAGATGACATGTGTTTTTTAAATATGTCAGAAAATTAATACTATCATATGATTTATTCATATATAAAAGTGTACAGTATTCTATTTGATAATCCTTATTGCATTTTCACCATTTATGTTATGTTTATGTTTCAAAAATTTATGAATGTCCTTACTAATGTGCAAAGCATGACAATCTGCTAAATTTTATTTGAAATTAGTACACTTTCCTGTAATACATAATTCCTGTCTTACTGAGTCCAAAACATAAAAAGATTTTAATAAAAGTTTTATGTTAAAATTGTTATCGTGCCATTACAAATATCTATAATACTATCTTTGAAAGGACTCTTTTTGGTCTCTACTTAATCTTTTAGTTCTAGCCCCCTGGCTTTTTTCTTTATTAGATATTATATTAACCTTTATTATTATAGTAAAACTCTTTGAGAATTTAGTCGATTGCATTTAGAATATTTCCTTTGGTATAATACATTAAGTCCTATATAAGGATAAATTGCATTATAATATTTAATAAAGTAATTTTCCCCACTATAATCTATCTTTAATATTAGGAAACAACTTTAATAATATTGAGTGATACATGATCAAAACCATCTCATTGAATTTCTAATACTATTAAAAATATTTAGTATCTCCGATCTTATGCTGATTATTTCTAATATTAATTTTATTTGGATGTGTCTGGTCCTATATATTTAAATCTGGCATTTTATTGCATGTCAATAAGTAAATACAGTTATATGTCTTACAGAAGGTAACTTAGAACTTCTTGGATTTGATCATTATGGATCATCTTACAAGTTTTACATCTTTGCTCTGCCACATCTTTTGTAAAAAGGAATTTTTATTATTGCCAGAATTACAATTCTTTTGAAGATTATCTAAGAAACTATTACAATTGTAGGCATTTTCTAGAGTTATTTGTAATTTTATTGCAATGCAAATAATCTTTTTTAGAATTCTTTTTAAGTATTCTTTATTCCAGAATACTCTAGTTTTATATGTATTAAAAATCTCGTAGAATCTCTACCTTGACCTGTATCTGCTAACCTTGTCACTATCTCTGTGTTCATCATGTTGTAGTAAATAATACTGCTGTAAATATATATATATATATATTGTTGTGCTGCCTTTTTGATCACAAGAAAGATTGAAGTTTTATTGATTTGTGTCCATGTAAATAATTAATCTTTTTTAATTATAATTTTTCGTTTTGGAGAGAGATGGGGCGGCATTTTCCATTTTTGTCCGGGGCGGCAAAACTGCTAGAGCCGCCCCTGCTCTTACTCACTCACTTATGATATATCAAGTTTTTCGGAGTTCTTATTTG